CTAACTTGTTTGATAGTCATTTGGTCTCCTTGTGCAGAAAAGACAAGTTTAATTAAATATGCTGATGCTATTCAAATTATTCTCATACCATGACAAGCAAGGCATTCTTTTAACCAAGACAAGACTTCAGAGTGAGCCTCATGAATAAGAGTTATGCTGGTAACAAATTGCAAGTGACATGATGGTCAAAAGGCTACTAGTTGTAAAGGAAAATTCGACCAAGGTAGTTAAACAGAAAACAATAGGGTTAAGTTGAAACTGAACAACATAATAGATGGGACCAAAGTTCAACTTTCTCTTTGTTATAGTGCTTTCCTTTTCTTGTTTGTTAAAACAAGTGTTTTTTTTTCTGTTGATAGGACTTGAATTCTACATGCAACATATGTCTGAAAGAAATTAACTCTGGCAGGTCCTATCTTTTAATGGCACCAATGCCCCTCCTGGAATTCACCATCAAGTGTGCCACAGAACCCATATTGGCTTGCTTGTGCTATGTTTCATCTCAGGCTATAAGAAAGGCATAGCTCATGTAGAATCAAAAGAGTCTTCTAACAGGCACTGAAGAGATTCAAACCCTGGATTTCTCCTTTGCTTGACAGTCCATTTAGCATCCTGGCATGGTATCTCCATTTCCACCCAGATTCTAAAGGTTGCAATTACTGAAAAGTTCCCGTAGTGTAGATAGTTGAGGTGCTGAGTCTAGGTGCTTTATTCAACTAAGCCACAGTGCCACAGTGCTATGGCCCCTTCCACCCGCATAGAATGTTGGCTCTTAATGCATGCGATGGTACTCAAATGCCATGCGCACTTAGATAGCCTGTTAAGGCATCTACTTCACCAGCCATGCAATGCTCATTCTGGGGTAGCAGATTGTGAAAAACATAGCCTAGACCAGTGGTCACCAACCCTGTTCCTGGAGAGCTTCTTTTGAAGACCCTAGATCAATCTAAAGTAGTCTAGACCACAACCCAGACCATTGGTCACCAACCCTGTTCCTGGAGATACTCCTTTGAAGACGATAGCACCAGCTAAAGTATTCTAGACATAGGCATCCTACATAGATGCTGATCTGGCATATGCAGGTATGTTGCTTGGGACAAAATGCTGCTCCTACTGCGGGTTTGAGGAATGCTATGATACTCAACCTCTGATAAACTACAAACATAGGTCAAGATATTTATCCACAAACAGCACACAAGCCACGGCAGATCAAATATTACGTTTACGTTTATTCATTAAGCAGACGCTTTTATCGAAAGCGACTTACCAAAGAGAAAATACAAGCAAAGTACTATCTGATCTCCAGCCATAGTCTTTACAAACATATCAGCAACATTCTGTTGACATAATTGCTGTGAGGGTACTCCGCACATGTTGGTAATCTTCGGTAAGAAGAATGCTAGTTTGGGTTTTGGATGTGTGAGCACAAATTATGGCATGAATCCATGTCATGGGTATTTTCTAGGTATTTAATTTTATCACAATTTCAGTGTCAATTTGTCCAAATGAGTAGAAACATGGGGACCCTGATGACAAACAAAGCATTCCACCTAAGATGGAGAGTAGGGAATTGTCACATTCAACAAAATACCCAATCTCGTATAGAAACAAAACAGCATACCTCTCTGCAAATGACTATGGAGGGACTTGAACCCACAACCTTTGAATAGCTCCAATGTTGAACATAGAAGTCCAATGCGCTATCCATTGCACCACAGAGCCCAGTTAACAGGGAGGAAAGGTGTTAAGTAGCAAAGGTGTTTCATCTCAGATTCTTCCAAATTTAGTGAGGGCATAGCACTCACCAATCTGCGCCTGCTGGTGTTTACTCCTTTCTGTAACAAAGGGATGGAAGGCATTGGCCTTGGTCTAAAAGAAAAGTGTGCGCCTGGGCACCACTGGGATTTGAACCCAGGATCTCCTGTTTGCTAGACAGGCACTTTAACCAACTAAGCCACAGCACTACAGTGTCCAAGTTCAGTAATGTTAAACTGACTGTTGACTCTTAATCAAGCTAAGCTGTTGCGCAACAGCAAGCAGACATAGAAGACATGTGAAGGCATCTGCCCAACCAGCCACGAAATGCATATGTCGTTGTCAGATTAAAAAAAGATAACCCAGACCATTGGTCACCAACCCTATTCCTGGAGATACTCCTTTGAAGACCAATGAGTAGAAACATGGGGAACTTGATGACGTTTGTTTTTTTTCGGCCGCAACAAAGCGTTCCATCTAAGATGGAGAGTAGGGAATTTCAATATTCAACAGGATACCCTCTACTAAAACTAACAAGCAACACCCATGTGCAAGCAAATGACTCTGGAGTAACTTAAACCAAGAACCTTTGAGTAGTTCCAGGGAGGAACCTCGAAGTCCAACTCCATTGCACCACAAAGCCCAGGTTATAAGTAGCAAAGCTGTTTCATGTCAGGCTGTTCCAAATTCAGTGAGGGCATAGCGCTTTCCTGTTCTTGTTTACTAAACAGGTGTTTTCATGTTGACAGCACTTGAAATTTACACATAACACATGTCTGAAAGAAAGCAACCTTAGCACGAACCTTAACCCACAAGCATTGAATCGCACCAATGTCAAGGCTAGACTTTACCATCCAGAGCCCCGCAGAACCAATCTTTGCTTGCTTCTGTCATCTCAGGCTGTAAGAAAGGCATAGCAGTTGCACAAACAGAAGAGTCTTTTATCAGGCACTGAAGAAATTCACACTCTGGATCTCTGCTATGATTGATGGGCAATTTTCGTCCCTGTATTGTATCTCACTTTTCTCCAGGATTCGTTAGGAAGAAACTACAAAGGAGTTCTTGTTGATAGCAGTTGAAATATACATGCAAAACACGTCTGAAAGCAAACAAACATAGCAGGATCTGAACCCACGAGGTTTTAATTGAATCAAGCCATGAAGCCACCACCCAATGTGACACAGACAAATCAAGGCTTGCTGGTGTTCTCTCTTCTCTGGAACAAAGGGATTGAAAACAACGCTATAGTCATGCATCAGGCACTGCTGGGATTTGGACCCAGGATCTCCTGTTTATTAGACAGGCACTTTAACCAACTAAGCCACAGCACCACTGGTCTTAAATGCCATCTTTCTAAACTGATTGTTGACTGTTACTCGAGCTAAGCTTTACGCCAATGGCTTGCGGAAATAGATGACATATTAAGGCATCTACTCAACCAGCCATGAAATGCACATTCTGTCATGTCAGATTCAGAAAATGATAACCGAGTCCATTGGTCAGCAACCCTATTCCTGGAAATACTCCTTTGAAGACCATAGCACCAGCTATAGTATTCTAGACATAAGCATCCTACACAGATGCTGATCTGGCATATGCATACATGTTCGCTCCTACCACTGGTTTGAGACATGCTAGAATTCTCAACCTATGATAAACCACAAACATAGTTCAAGATAGATTTCCACAAACAGCAGACAAGCCCCAGCAGAGACACTATCTGATCTCCAGCCATAGTCGTTACACACATATCACAAAATTTCTGTTCACAGCAATTGCTCTGAGGGTACACAGCACATGTTTCTAATCTTTGCTAAGCAGAATGCTAGTTTGGGGTTGGGATGTGTGAGCACAAAATTATGGCGGGAATCCATGGCATGGGTATTTTCTAGGAACTTAAATTTAGCACAGCTTCAGTGTAAGTTTGGGCAAATGAGTAGAAACATGGGGAACTTGATGACGTTTTCACCTGGGGCCAACAAAGCATTCCATCTAAGATGGAGAGTAGGGAATTTCCATATTCAACAGGATACCCTCTCTGGTATCGAAAAAACTAACAAGCAACACCCATGTGCAAGCAAATGACTCTGGAGTAACTTAAACGAAGAACCTTTGAGTAGTTCCAGGGAGGAAGCTCGAAGTTCAACTCCATTGCACCACAGAGCCCAGGTTATAAGTATCAAAGCTGTTTCATCTCAGGCTCATCCAAATTCAGTGAGGGCATAGAGCTTTCCTGTTCTTGTTTACTAAACAGGTGTTTTCCTGTTGACAGCACTTGAAATCTACACGTAACACATGTCTGAAAGAAAGCAAACTTAGCACGAACCTTCACCCACAAGCATTGAATCGCACCAATGTCAAGGCTAGACTTTACCATCCAGAGCCCCGCAGAACCAATCTTTGCTTGCTTCTGTGGTGTGTCATCTCAGGCTGTAAGACAGGCATAGCAGTTGCACAAACAGAAGAGTCTTTTATCAGGCACTGAAGAAATTCACACTCTGTATCTCTTTTATGATTGATGGGTGATTTTGCGTCCGTGCATTGCATCTCCCTTTTCTCCAGGATTCATTAGGAAGCAACTACAAAGAGTTCTTGTTGATAGCAGTTGAAATTTACATGCAAAACACGTCAGAAAGCAAACAAATGTGGCAGGATCTGAACCCACGAGGTTTTAATTGAGTCAAGCCATGAAGCCACCACCCAATGCAAAAAAGACCAAATCAAGGCTTGCTGGTGTTCGCTCTTCTCTGGAACAAAGGGATTGTAAACATCACACTAGAAAAAAAGAGTCATGCATGAGGCACTGCTGGGATTTGAACCCAGGATCTCCTATTTACAAGACAGGCACTTTAACCAACTAAGCCACAGCACCATTGGTCTTAAATGCCATCTTTCCGAACTGATTGTTGACTCTTACTTAAGCTAAGCTTTATGCCAATGGCTTGCGGACAGATTACATATTAAGGCATCTACTCAACCAGCCATGAAATGCACATTCTGTCGTGTCAGATTCAGAAAAAGATAAACCAGACCATTGGTCACCAACCCTGTTCCTGGAGATACTCCTTTGAAGACGATACTTGTGAAAGAAAACAAATATGACAGGACCTGAATGCACAAGCTGTTTATAGAATCAAGCTTAGAAGTCACCATCCAATGTGACAGAACCAATCTCTGCTTGCTGATGTTTCATGGCAGGCAGTAACAAAGACATGACTCTTGCAAAAAGAGAAGAGACTTGTAGTAGGCACTGATGGGATTTGAACCCAAGATCTCCGGTTTACAAGAGTGGTGCTTTAGCCAACTAAGCCACAATGCCAGAGGGCTATGGCCACTTCAATCTGCATAGAATTTTGGCTCTTAATCAAGCTACGCGTTACTCAAATGCCATGCACACTTAGATAGCCTGTTAAGGCATCTACTTCACCAGCCATGCAATGCACATTCTGGGGTAGCAGATTGTGAAAAACATAGCCTAGACCAGTGGTCACCAACCCTGTTCTTGGAGAGCTTCTTTTGAAGACCTTAGATCCATCTAAAGTAACCTAGACATAGGCATCCTACACAGATGCTGATTTGGCAGATGCATATATGTTGTTTGGTCTGAATGCTGCTCCTACCACTGATTGGAGGCTTGCTGTTATCCTCAACCTAAGATAAACCACAAACATAGGTCAAGATATATATCTACAAACAGCAGACAACCCACAGCAGATCAAAGATACTATCTGATCTCCAGCCATTATTTTTACAAACATATCAGCAAAATTCTGTTGATAGCTATTGCTCTGAGGCTATGCAGCACATGTTTCTAATCTTTGCTAATCAGAACGCTAGTGTGGAGTTTGGATGTGTGAGCACAAATTTCAGCATGAATCCATGTCATGGATATCTATACGAACTTGAATTTAATACAGCTTCAGCTACATTTTGGCCAAATGACTAGAAACATTTGGAACATGATGTCGGTTGTTTCAACTGGGGGCCAGCAATGCACTCTATCTGAGATGGAAAGTAGGGAATTGCCATATTCAACAGGATTACTCACCATGGAATTTTTCTCAGAGACAGAAAAAGCCAGCAAGCAAAAAGCATATGACTCTGGTGGGACTCGAACTCACAACCTTTGAATATCTCCAATGCTTAGCTTAGAAGTCCAACATGCTTTCCATTGCGCCACAGAGCCCAACCTGGCATGGTGTGATGGTGTTTCATCTCAGGTTCTTCAAAATTCAGGGCGTGCATAGTGCTTTCCTTTTCCTGTTTGTTAAAACAAGTGTTTTTTTTTCTATTGATAGAACTTGAATTCTACATGCAACTCATGTCTGAAAGAAATTAACTCTGGCAGGTCCTATCTTTTAATGGCATCAATGCCCCTGCTGGAATTCACCATCAAGTGTGCCACAGAACCCATATTGGCTTGCTTGTGCTATGTTTCATCTCAGGCTATAAGAAAGCCATAGCTCATGTAGAAACAAAAGAGTCTTCTAACAGGCACTGAAGAGATTCAAACCCTGGATTTCTCCTTTGCTTGACAGCCCAATTAGCATCCTGGCATGGCATCTCCATTTCCCCCCAGATTCTAAAGGCTGCAATTACTGAAAAGTTCCCGTAGTGTAGATAGTTGAGGTGCTGAGTCTAGAGGTTAAATGCCCTATCTACTGTACCACAGGGCCCAAGCTAGTATGCTGCTACGGTGTTTCATCTCATGTTCTTCCAAATTCAAAGATGACATAGTACTTGCCTGTTCCTGTTGATTAAACAGGTGTTTTTCTCTTGATAGCGATTGAAACCTACATGCAACACAAGTCTCAAAGAAAGGATCTTTGGCAGGACGCACTAGCTTTTAATAGAATCAATGTCATGTCTAGAATTCACCTTCCAGTGTGCCAAAGAACCCATCTTGGATTGCTTGTGTGATGTTTCATCTAAGGCTGTAAGGAAGCCTTAGCCCTTGTTGAAACAAAATAGTCTTGTATCAGGCTCCGAAGAGATTCAAACCATGGATTTCACCTTTGCTTGATGGGCAATTTAGCTTCCTCGCATGGCATCTCCGTTTCCCCCCCAGATTCTTTAGGTTGTATTTACAGAAGAGGTCCTGTTTGGTAAACTGGTGCGTTTCTGTTGATAGCGGCTGATATCTACATGCAACACACTTATGAAAGCAAACAAATATGACAGGACCTGAATGTACAAGCTGTTTATAGAATCATGCTTAGAAGTCACAATCCAATGTGACAGAACAATCTCTGCTTGCTGATGTTTCATGGCAGGCAGTACCAAAGACATGGCTCTTGCAACAAGAGAAGAGACTTGTAGTAGGCACTGCTGGGACAAGTGTTTTTTTCTGTTTATAGCACTTGAATTCTACATGCAACACATGTCTGAAAGAAATTAACTCTGGATAGCTGAGCTTTGTCACCTTTTAGCATGAGGTTGACAAAGAAGTGGATGGTCATCACAGAGATTCATGAATAAGAGTTATGCTGGTAACAATTTGAAAGTGACATGATAGTCAAATGGCTACTAGTTGTAAAGGAAAATACGAACAAGGTAGTTAAACAGAAAACACTAGGGTTAAGTTGAAACTGGACAACATAATTCATTGGAACAAATTCCAACATTCTCTTGGTTGAAGTCACCATTTTACAGGTTAGAGAAAAAACAGTTATATCTTTGTGAACGTGTCCACAGAACTTACCTTCAACTTAGATTGTTAAGTGAGGTCTCACGTAGAGCCCAGATAGCTCAGTCGGTAGAGTTTTTTTTCTGTTGATAGGACTTGAATTCTACATGCAACACATGTCTGAAAGAAATTAACTCTGGCAGGTCCTATCTTTTAATGGCACCAATGCCCCTTCTGGAATTCACCATCAAGTGTGCCACAGAAACCATATTGGCTTGCTTGTGCTATGTTTCATCTCAGGCTATAAGAAAGGCATAGCTCATGTAGAACCAAAAGAGTCTTCTAACAGGCACTGAAGAGATTGAAACCCTGGATTTCTCCTTTGCTTGACAGCCCATTTAGCATCCTGGCATGGCATCTCCATTTCCACCCAGATTCTAAAGATTGCAATTACTGAAAAGTTCCCGTAGTGTAGATAGTTGAGGTGCTGAGTCTAGGTGCTTTATTCAACTAAGCCACAGTGCCAAAGCGCTATGGCCCCTTCCACCCGCATAGAATGTTGGCTCTTAATCAAGCTACGCGTTACTCAAACGCCATGCACACTTAGATAGCCTGTTAAGGCATCTACTTCACCAGCCATGCAATGCACATTCTGGGGTAGCAGATTGTGAAAAACATAGCCTAGACCAGTGGTCACCAACCCTGTTCCTGGAGAGCTTCTTTTGAAGACCCTAGATCCATCTAAAGTCACCTAGACATAGGCATCCTACACAGATGCTGATTTGGCAGATGCATATATGTTGTTTGGTCTGAATGCTGCTCCTACCACTGATTGGAGGCTTGCTGTTATCCTCAACCTAAGATAAACCACAAACATAGGTCAAGATATACAAACAGCAGACAAGTCACGGCAGATCAAAGTTAGCTATGTGATGTCCAGCCATAGTTTTTACAAACATATCAGCCAAATTCTGTTGATAGCTATTGCTCTGAGGGTATGCAGCACATGTTTCTGATCTGAACGCTAGTGTGGAGTTTGGATGTGTGAGCACAAATTTCAGCATGAATCCATGTCATGGGTATCTATACAGATTTGAATTTAGTACAGCTTCAGCTACATTTTGGCCAAATGACTAGAAACATTTGGAACGTGATGTCGGTTGTTTCAACTGGGGGCCAACAATGCAATCTATCTGAGATGGAAAGTAGGGAATTGCCATATTCAACAGGATTCATCACCATGGAATTTTTCTCAGATACACTCTAAGGGACAGAAAAAGCCAGCAAGCAACAAGCATATGACTCTGGTGGGACTCGAACCCACAACCTTTGAATAGCTCCAATGCTTAGCTTAGAAGTCCAACACACTATCCATTTTTTTTTTAATTCAAAAGTATGTCAACAGTAAAAACATATTCCACCATAAATAATTTTCACATTAAAATACATCAGTCTATACATATTGGTGGCAGCTGTCACTTACGGCCATACCACTCCGACAAAACCTGATCTCATCTGACCTTGGAAGCAAAGCCAAGTTTGGCCTAGTTAGTACTTGGATGGGAGACTGAATGGGAAAACTAGGTGCTGTAACCAGAGCTTCGCAGAGAATTTCGCTCCGCTTTCCTACTTTGCCAAAAACACTGTGTGGTTTCCTGGCTCTGCTTGGGACATTCACCCCAGGGGCCCGGGGCTGCCAATGATATGGGATGTACTACACACGGTGTGGGTAATTAAACTTCGTATGACGTTCCGTGTTAGTTGTAGTTCATGCTGGGTTATCCGCTCCCAGGTCATTGTCTAATCTCATGTTTATGTTTGTTTCTCGACCCTGTTTTCGGTGCCACGTTATTGATATCTGCCCTGCCCCAAGTTTATGCCTGTTTGCCGTTCGCCTGACCTTCGCCTGTTTTCTGGAATATGCATTTGGATTACGTTTTGGATTTGTGTGGTGTCACTTTAAAACTATGCACACTTTAGTACATAAACTACATGTTGTATGTGCTCCTCCTCCTCTTTCCTTTAGCTCCGTTGCGAGCTGTGACATTAGTATTGCTACAGCTACAGTCAGTCAGGTATTTGGTTAATTTAATGTGTTTAATGGAAACTTGGATTAAACAAACGGACAGTACATAGCATTAAATGTAGCCAGTGCTCCTGGATACAGTTATGTACATCAGCCTTGTTCAACTGGTAGAGGAGGTGGTGTTGGTCTCATCCATAGTCAAAATGTAGTCATCACACAAAATCCTTATCATAAATTGAATTCCTTTTGAAATTCTTTATACCAGTGTAAACTATGTAGCCAGAAACAATAAGTCAATTATTATTTTACAGACCCCCAGGGCCATATACTGAATTTCTTAGAGAATTTGCAGACTTTGTCTCAAACCTGGTTGTGTCTGTAGATAAAGCATTAATCGTTGGAGATTTTAATATTAATTTTGATAACCCGGAAGACCCTCTAAGAATAGCGGTTGTGTCCATCTTGAATTCAGTAAGGATTAATCAGAACGTAAACGGACCTACTCATAATGGTGGTCACACTCTAGACCTCATACTAACATACGGACTAAGTATAGAAAATATTGTAATTTTTCCACAGTCTGAAGTTGTCTCAGACCATTATCTTATCTCACTCATAATGCATATTGATCATAATTTTGCCACCTCGCTACCATCGGTTAAATGTA